TTGGGTACAGACCCATGGCTTGTTTGGTTACTGTAGCTTGTAGTATAGTGAAGTCCAGGTGCGTGATGCTCCAGCTTTGTTCTTTTGATTAGGGATTGTCTTGGAGGATGCGGCTCTTTTTTGTTCCATATGAACGTTAAAGCAGTTTTTCCAATTTTCTGTGAAGGAAACTCGTGGTAGCTTGATGGGATGGCATTGGTAATCTATAAAATAACCTTTTTGGGCAGTATGGCCATTTTCACAAATTGATTCTTTCCGGATCCATGCGGGCACGTATGTTCCATTGGTTGGTTCTCTTTTATTCACTGAGCAGTGTTGTATTCTCCCTTTGAAGAGCCCTTACATCTGTAAATGGGATTCCTAGGTTTATCTTTGAAGAATTGTGAATGGGAATTCATTAAGATTGGCTCCCTCTGTTCTTTAGCTGGGTTATTACCGGGAATGCTTGATTTTTGCACTTAATTTTTGTTTCCTGAACCTCTGCTGAGTGCTGATCAGGCCTAAGGAATTTTGGGCTGAGGACAATGGGGATTTTAATATTACAATCGATGGTCATCGCAAAAAGAGGAAATTTGACGGTCTTCTTTCCTAACGAATACCTTGATTTCCTTCTTCTTGCTGTGCCTGAGCTAGGAACTGAACATTAGGGTGAATAAGGATGGTGAGCTCGCGGCACATGTACCCTAGAACTTAAAGTATAATAATAAAAAATAAATTAAAAAAATAAAAAAATAAAAAAATAATTTCTTAACCAGCTAGCATTTAATCATACCTTAAGAACTCTATAAACAACAAGAAAAATAAAATATATAGGTAGATAATGAACTGCCAAACAAGAAATTTCACTGACAGCATTCCTGGTATGAAGTAAAGATACTGTCTTCCAAATTATTCATTCAAATTGAATAGAAAGAAAAGGAAGCAGTGGGGCGCTGTGGCTCACACCTCTAATCCTAGCACTTTGGGAGGCCAAGGCGGGCGGATTGCCTGAGCTCAAGAGTTCGAGACCAGCCTGGGCAACATGGTGAAACCCTGTCTCTACTAAAATACAAAATAACAATTAGCTGGGCATGGCGGTGTGCACCTGTAGTTCCAGTTACTCAGGAGGCTGAGGCAGGAGAATTGCTAGAACCCAAGAGGCGGAGGTGGCAGTGAGATGAGATCACACCACTGCACTCCAGCCTGGGCAACAGAGCAAGCCTCCGTCTCTTAAAAAAATAAGAAAAGAAAAGAAAAAGGAAAAGAAGAAAAGAAAAGAAAAAAGAAAAAGGAAGCCTTCCTGCCTGCCTGCCTTCCTTCTTTCCTTCCTTCCTTCCTTCCTCCCACCCTCCTTCCCTCCCTCCTTCCTTCCCTCCCTCCCCTCCTCCTCCTCCTCTTTCTTTCTCTCTCTTTCCTCCCTTCCTTCTTTCCTTTCTTTCTTTCCTTCTTTCTTTTCTTTTCTCTCTTTTCTTTCTCTCTCTCTCTCTCTCCTCTCTTCTCTCTTCTCTCTCTCTTTCTGATGAAGTATCGCTCTGTCGCCCAGGCTGCAGTGCACTTGTGTAATCTTGGCTCACTGCAACCTCCACCTCCCAGGTTCAAGCAATTCTCCTGCCTCAACCTCCCATGTAGCTGGGATTACAGGCCCCCGCCACCATGCCTGGCTAATTTTTGTATTTTTAGTAGAGACGGGGTTTCACTATGTTAGTCAGGCTGGTCTCGAACTCCTGACCTCAAATGATCCTCCCGCCTCCGCTTCCCAAAGTGCTGGGATTACAGGCGTGAGTCACCGTGCCCGGCCTCTGACTTTTTTTATTTTTGAGCTTGGTTCTTGCTCTGTCACCCAGACTGGAGCACGGAGTCACGCTCACTGCTCACTGCAGCCTCAACCTCCTGGGCTCAAGCAATCCTCCCACCTCAGCCTTCCTCGTAGCTGGGACTACAAACGTGCACCACAATGCCCAGCTAATTTTTGTATTTTTATAGAGAGACAAGGTCTCACTATGTTGCTCAAACTGGTCTTGAACTCCTGGGCTCAAGTGATCCACTAGCCTTGGCCTCCCACAGTACTGGAATTACAGGCGTGAGCCTCTGGACCCAGCCTTAGAGCCTGACTAAGTCTTGGAATTCTATCAGTTGAACTAGTCAAAGAAACATACTAAATAGGGAAAAAAATACATAGGCCAGTCACAATATTTACTTCATCTTTTCCAAGAAAACTTAATGTGGACAGTTGGTCTAACACCAGTGTAGACCAAAATATTAGAAATAGGCCAGGCATGGTGGCTCACGCCTATAATACCAACCCTTTGGGAGGCCAAGGCAGGAGGAGTGCTTGACCAGACTGAGAAACATGGCAAAACTCTGTCTCTACCGAAAAAAGTACAAAAATTAGCCAGGCATGGTGGTGCATGCCTGTGGTCCAAGCTATTTGTGAGGCTGAGCCCAGGAGGTGGAGGTTGCAGTGGGGTAAGATTGCACCACTCCACTTCAGCCTGGGTGACAGAGCGAGCCTCTGTCTTTAAAAAAAAAAAAATTGGAAACATTAATGAAATAAAAATTAAAAAGTGGCGATGTGTTTATAATGCCTAATAAAGAATACTGACACTCAGTAAATATTTACTCATTAAACCTATCAGTAACAAAATAACCATGATTCAAGAAAACAGGTTTTGTGTGTGTGTGTGTGTTTTTTTTGTTTGTTTGTTTGCTCGGAGATGGAGTCTCACTCTGTCACCCAGGCTGGAGTGCAGTGGCACCATCTTGGCTCACTGTAACCTCTGCCTCCCAGGTTCAAGCGATTCTCCTGCCTCAGCCTCCCGAGTAGCTGGGACTACAGGAGGCCACCACCACGCCTGGCTAATTTTTGTATTTTTTAGTAGAGATACAAAAAATAATTTTGTATTTTTTATTTTCACCATTTTGGCCAGGCTGATCTTGAACTCCTGACCTCGTGATCCACATGCCTCAGCCTCCCAAAGTGTTGGGATTACAGGTGTGAGCCACCGCGCCTGGCTGAAAACAGTTTTCCTAAGTCTAGCTTATAAAGTATACTAATTGATTAACTTTAAATAACTAAGTTGGCCAGGCACGGTGCCTCACGCCTGTAATCCCAGCACTTTTGGAGGCCAAGATGGGCAGATCACCTGAGGTCAGAAGTTTGAGACCAGCCTGGCCAACATGGTGAAACCCTTATATCCACTAAAAACACAAAAATTATCTGGGGCCATGCGTAGCACGTGCCTGTAGACCCAGCTACTCAGGAGCGCTCAGGCCACTAGAATTGTTTTGAACCAGGAAGCAGAATTGCAGTGAATCGGGATTCGTCGATTTCACTCCAGCCCTGGGTGACCAGAGGGAAGCCTATGTCTCAAAAAAAATTTTTTTTTAATTAATTGAATAAATAAGTTATTTACAGCCTTTTTTTGTGGAACATTGAAAGGGCAACTAGCTTACAATGAAAGAAATTCAGTGCAATACGGGCCCTTAATAACTATAAATATTTATCAGTAGTGAAATTTAAAGACAGAGCAAAATGGTTTTTTGCCATTCAGTTCAGTCTTTCTACCTCTAACCTTTCCTACTCTTTTTGTGAGAACTGATAAAAAAAATAGAGAAATTTTAAAAAGAAAGAAAAAAAAGCTATTTGCCAAAAATATCGTCCGCTTGGAAACAAACGCATTATCCTCAGAACAGCATCCAGACCATGCCACAGGAGCGAAGGCATTTTCTGCCCTGGAGCAGAACTTGACTTCTCCAGATCCCCTTCCTCAGGAAACTAAGTCTACTTATTTTTGTTCCACCTCAATAGTTGAGACTACTGAGCCCAGAAACTACAGGAATCATCAGTATGAGAGAATCAAGATATGCAGGTATTGTGTCTATGAAAGTATCTTCTTTTCTGTGTGAAGGGCAGAATTGAACAGTGTAACCTTCATCCATTCTCCCAGCTTGAGCCAAAATGAAACTTCAGATACCCCCGGCAGGCAGCCTAGTTTGTTGTTGTTTTTTAAAGATCTTTGCAGGAAATCAGTTTACAACCTTGAGCTGTTTTTCACTCTAACATACACAAAGTCATCTTAAATGTCTCACTAGCTTCCATTTCAGGAAGTCATCATTTTAAAACTTACTGCCACTGAACGGCTATTTCTCCTAAAACTGACTTTGCTTGATACAGCAGTGATACCTCATTCTCACACAATGACATTAAAACTTAGGGAAAAAGGAATTACAGCTATAAAGTAAATGACAAAAACTTGAACCCACACACACTAACAAAACTGGTTTAGGGCCTTATTTCAAGGATTCTCACCGTTCCTTTTGCCCACGAATCTTCTAGGGGGTTACTAAAAAAGTGGCTGTCCTTTCCCAGACCTCAATTCAGGATTCAGCTTCAAATAAGTGGAAACTAGACATTCCTAAAGATTCTCACCACCACATAAAACTAAAACAAGCTCTTTACTGCTTAGGATTACAGGACAATTTCCGGCAGTTACAGTCATTCAGGGGTTCTAGGACCAGCTTGAACTGCACGAGACCCTTTACTACTTCTCACTCTCCGTCTCCCCACTGGCTTTTGACATTTTCCCTGCTCAAGTGCCAAGCAGTATTTGAAAGGCTGAGGGAAAGATCAAGACATTAACTTCTCATGGACAGCTCTAATTCAATAAGAAAATGAAAAACTTGTAGAGTAAGAAATCCATTTGCCTTTAAAAAATACAATTTATGATTAGCTGAGCCTCCTCCCATTACCAAAAGTTGGCATTCCCTCCACCCTACCCAAACGTTCCCTGTTCATAACACTGTTTCATCACGTCATATTGCCATTGTGACTTCTTCCTCCACTAGAGGACAACAGCTGTTTTGTAGTCAGCGCCCACCACCATCCCTATTACATAGTAGGTGCTTTAAATATGTTCACTGGCTTTTATTCTTGCCGTGTCTCCCAATGGATAATTAATATTCTATTGGATCTGCTCTCAATCCTGGCATGGGTAAAACGTTATTTTCTAGAAATCAGTTACCGGGTTATAGATGATATTCTGTAGGTTGTTTAATGACAACATCATTCTTTTCCAGCTTCTTGTTGGAGTCTCTTCTGTGTATGACCTGAGATTTTAGGCCAGTTTCATTTAAAGGTTACCTGGATTGAAACTGAGGCACTGGCCCTGTGTAAAGTAAAAATAGAGGAAAAGAAAAGTAAGCATGTAGCATTTTTCTTCATATCCTATTTTAAAATTTAAATTATATATTATGTTACTGATATTTACCAAATAATAGAATGTTATTACAAGCAAAGATCTGCCTCCCATTCTTACCAGTGTGCTCATATACTAAACAATTTTGGATTGTGAGTGTAGGAAATACTGACTGAAAAAATACATCAGTAGAAAATTTCTGGCGGGCGCGGTGGCTCAAGCCTGTAATCCCAGCACTTTGGGAGGCCGAGACGGGCGGATCACGAGGTCAGGAGATCGAGACCATCCTGGCTAACACAGTGAAACCCCGCCTCTACTAAAAAAATACAAAAAACTAGCCGGGCGTGGTGGTGGGCGCTTGTAGTCCCAGCTACTCAGGAGGCTGAGGCAGGAGAATGGCGTAAACCCGGGAGGCGGAGCTTGCAGTGAGCTGAGATCCGGCCACTGCACTCCAGCCTAGGCGACAGAGCGAGACTCCGTCTCAAAAAAAAAAAAAAAAAAAAAAATTTCTAACATGGAATTTATTATTAAAAATACTAAAATAGGCCAGGCATGGTGGCTCATGCCTGTAATCCCAGTACTTTGGGAGGCCAAGGCAGGTGGATCACCTGAGGTCAGGAGTTCGAGACCAGCCAAAACAATATGGTGAAATCTCATCTCTACTAAAAATACAAAAATTAGCCAGATGTGGTGGCATGCACCTGCAGTCCCAGCTACTCAGGAGGCTGAGACAGGAGAATTGCTTGAACCCAGGAGGCGGAGGTTGAAGTGAGTCAAGATCGTGCCACTGCACTCCAGCCTGGGCAACAGAACGAGACTCCATCTCAAAAAAACAAATTAATTAATTAATGGCAATTACTAATCAAACAGTCCTGTACAATTATCAGAGGTATTCATTTCACTTTTCATTTCCATAAAAGGACAATTATTATAGTATTCACATCATTGGTTTGTTCTGAGGATTGAGTTAATAAAATAGTGAAAGAGTAAGTGCTATGTTAGCTATTATTATTGTGAATAAAAAGAATTGCTCTTCCTCCTCCAATTTAAACAAATCAAAGTGGGGAAATCCAATAATTTTAATACTATTAAGATACAATTTTCTCTGCTGCTTTAAAAAAAAAAAAAATCACAGGGCAGGGGAGTGTTGGAAAGCATCAGCTACATTTCTTAAGATAAAGGCACCCATGGACACTACATTTAATAACTCTAGGAAAAACTCGATGACTTTAAGCAGAACTAAAGGGGAAACGAAACTAGAGCTTCCTGTATTTTACGTCCAGCAATTGTCATTATACCGCACACCAACAATACACACCTATCAAATCTATTACTTTTTCTTTATTAAGAAAAAAACTGTACCCCTCTTGGTTTACCACCTAAATATAACCCCAGTCTATGTCATTAACTTAATTCGTTAGTCAAAACCTCAAAACTCTGGCTCCATGACTCAATACAGGAAGCAAGAACAAGAGCAAAAAGAATGGATGCCGAGTTGCCATACACATGTGTGATAACCAGCAAGTGACCCAATTTAAATCATCGGCTTGCATTAAATCACGCAACCCCCGAAGTATCCCCAGAACAGGTCCCGCCAGCATGACCACTTCGTATGCATCACAAGAAGCCATCACTTAAGTTTCACGTACGGTCAAAGGAAGTCACATGACTTGCCCTTTGAAATGTTTAATACTGCAGTCAAATGACTCGGCATCCTGAAGAGCGTGTAAGAGGCAGGGAAAGCAATGTCACTACAAATTCCGGGAAGGAAGCTTCCCCAGATTCCTCCACTTGGAGGTGGCTCTAGGCCTCAGGTTAGGAGGGAACAGGGTAGAAAGCAGCACAGGTGCGGTGCATTTGCAGCGAGGAGACACCCCAGGACAAATAGCCTGATTCCAGCCAGGGATATACAAGAAAGGCCGCGACTCCTGATAACCCCTTACGCCCCGGAGCAGCCTCGCCTGCAGAGATCCCCGCCACCCAGCCCCGGCTCTGCCGCGGTGAGGACCTGCGGGTTGGGGTGGACTGGACACTGTCCCACCCATCAAATTGTGATTTAGGAGCCGTGACATCCGAATGCCATCCTCCACTGGCGAGACCCTCAGAGCAGCCACGCCCCTAGCGACTGTCCCAGTGGCCGGGGGTCGCGCTACTCACCCAAGGACTGGTGTTTCAGGCGCTCCACGGAGCAGGTTGTTCGTCAGCCGCTAGGTGCCGTCCGGTTCCCGGCTCGGGCGTCCGTGGGCGGCTACGGGAAGCGACAGGAGTCAGTCCTCGTTCACTTCCCGGCTCTGCCGCTGTGGTCTCCCCACCCTCCCGGCGCCGTGCCTTCTGTGTATGGAGTGTCCCTGGCGGCTCTGCTGGATTTTGGACAGGGACCCGCGGCTGATCGCCACCCAGCTCGGCCTCCTGCACAGCCTCTGGGGCCTTGGACCGCGACTGGCTTGCTGTGGGAGAGCACAGAGGATAAGGACAAAGAATGTGTCCTGGGTGGATCTGGCTGCCTTTGCCCCGAAGGCGGAGTGGGGTGGAAGGTGGTAGGAAAATGGGAAGGAAAGAAGAGAAAGGCTTTCTCTTCCGCAGCAAGTGGGCCGACGTCCACTTGGCTGTTCCAGGCCTCCAGGTCTAGGACACAGGGCTGGGACTTTCCGGGACCAGAGTGATCACCGCACAGGCCCCGCCTGCCTGGACCCAGCGCTGGCCTTCCCGGGGCGCCCAGGTCCACGGGGTCAATGCCAGGGTTTTCTCAGCTTCCTTGTCTGCCTCAGATCGGAGTCCAGACAGTGCCAGAAGAGACCTGAAGACACTGCTTTTTGACGGTGCACACCTCTGGATGTAGGCGAAACTGGGGGAAGGGTTCAGTACCTTGGACTGTGCCCAGCTCAAAGCGCCCCATCCGTTAGTGATAACATGGACTCGCAGCCACTCCGCGTCACTCGCTAGTTACCCTGCGCGTGGGTGTTTTCTCCAAATTGGACATTAGGGAACAGGTTAAGCAGTATGGAGCACAATTCTGTGCGTATTAGATGCTCCGTAAATACCCAACTTCTCAGGGCTCTACACTGATAGTTTGACCTATTGGCTGTAAACACACCAGCCAGAAATATAAATAAAGTTTGAAACAAAGTCACGTCAGCCACTTGGAATGGCTTGCTGCTTATTGTTTGTTTTGTGTTAGGGACCTCAAAGTTCTCATCTTCTCTGCTTGACTTTTATCCACATTTGTTTGGAAAGATATATTTTAGTGTCACCAACATGGGCTTTCTCCTCCTTGGCTTTTGTTTTCATTATTTTTTATTTTAATCGAGGAATTCATTACAAGTCCCATAACTGGGAACTCATGTTCTGATTCACTGTTGCTTTTCTCTCCTCCTTACCCATTTTCCAAGTTAGATACACTTCTCAAGATCCAATCTGAATAAGTGAATTTACCCTTGACATACACTGCCTTGGATTTATAGTTATCTTCTGGTGTGTGTCGTGTGTTTTATCTGTCCAACTCGACTGTCGTTTGAGAATGAACTTGTCTTATACATTCCCCAGTGCATAGTGTAATGCTTTGCATAAAATAGATATCAATGTTAGGTTGAAGTGTTAGATTATTGATAAAGTCAGGAGCAACTGAATATCTTCACAATTCTGCCTGAGTCTCCCCCGCCCCCACCCCCTTTGAGACAGGGTTTCTCTCAAGTGATCCTCCCACCTCAGCCTCAGGAGTAGCTGGGACTACAGACGCACACCACTATGCCCAGCTAATTTAAAAATTTTTTTTGTAGAGACGGGGTCCACTATGTTGCCCAGGCTGGTCACAAACTCCTGGGCTCACAGTATCTTCCTGCCTTGGCCTCCCACAATGCTGAAATTACAGACGTGAGTCACCAAGCTGGGCCCTGAGTCTACCTAGTACTTCTCCTTTACAAAGCTAAAATAAGTTGAAATAAGTACACATAAATGCTGTGTTTCTTTCATAAGTCATATTTAGGCACAAATGGGGCTGAGTAAAAGGGCCAGAGAGTTAACAAAGAAAATCTGGATTAAAATGTTCATAAATCCTAAGAACTTATTCCTAGAAATATCTCCCTCATTTGGCACTGTTGTTCAACTAGCCCAGTGTGTAATTTTAAATAAGCAAATATTCACTGAATGCCTATCATGGCCAGGCACAGCAGTAAAGAATACTAGCATGCAAAGGACCTCATGGGCCCTTCTAGATAGAGTCCCACATCTCTTACATTATTACTGCAGTACCCAAATTGGTCTCCCTATTTTCGCCCTTGCCCCTCTGCAATTCAGTCTCAACACAGCAGCCAGAGAAATCATGATAAAACGTAATTCAGATCATGTTAATCCCTTACTAAAAACTACTTTTTTGGGGTTTTTTTTTTTGCCGTTTTCCTTTTTTGGCCCGGTTTGGGTTGGGTTGCGTTTTTGGGTTTTCGGTTGGTTGCGGCTTCGCCTCCCACGTTCAAGTGATTCATGTGCCTTAGCCTCCTGAGTAGCTGGGACTACAGGTGTGCGCCACCATGCCCAGCTAAGTTTTGTATTTTTAGTAGGGATGAGGTTTCACTATGTTGCCCAGGTTCGTCTCGAACTCCTGACCTCAAGTGATCTGCCCGCCTCGGCCTCCTGTAACCTGGGATTGCAGGTGTGAGCCACCACTTCCGGCCGGTGGTCTACTAATTTTTGCTCATTCTTTGAGTAAAGATCCAGTTATTACAGAAACACTTCATGATCTGCCCCAATCCTCACACACTGTGACTTTATCTCCAAATATTTGCCTTCTCGCTTTTTCTGCAGCAGACACACCTACTTTGCTATTCTCCTAGCAGGCCTGTCACACTTCCATCCTAAAATCTTTACTCAATATCTCCTTTTCCCTTTTCAAGTCTACTCAGGTGTCAATTTTCAGTGGGGCCCTTCCTGACCACCAATATTTAAAATTGCAAACACTGTCCCAAAACACACTCATACACACTCCCTATCAACTCTTCCTTGCTCTATTTCTGGCTAACATTTGTCATGCTAATATACTATATAAGGTACCTTTTTATTTTATGTTACTTCGCCCATCATAAGACTATAAACTCCATGAGGGCAGGGCATTTTGATTGTTCTTGTTTCAAGGAAGCTTACACTCTAGTTGAGGACACATATAGTGATGTGTTTTAGAGAAGATTAAATTGGGATCACCTGAGTGGCAACCTTAGTTGGGTGACAAGGAAATTTTCTCAGAGGAGGCAAAGTTTAAGCAGCTGGTGAGTGAAAGAAAGGAAACAGCCATATGAAGATGGTGCGGAAGAGCATTCCCGCCTTAGTGACCAGCTACTGCAAAGTCCCTGAGGGTCTTGAGAATGCATTAAATGTGTTCAGGAAACAAAGGCCACCAACCAGCATGGCTGAAGCATGAGGGGAGAATGATAGGATGTCATGGGATTGGATGGCGCCACCTACGAGAGTAGAGGGAGAAAATCACCTCGGACAGCCGTGGGGAGATAAGACAATGTCAATAAATGAGACTGACAAGAAACAACCAGGGGAATTTGCTGAAAGTGGTGTCACAGACGCCAAAGAAAGAGGAACAGCCTGTTGTGCCAAGTGTGCTGAGAGGCCAAGAAAGACGGAAGTGAGCAATGGGCTTAGGAACGTGAAGTTATGGCTGACAGTGACTCTGAAATAGGTTGAGAAATGGGAGGTGAAGAACTGGTGGAAACCGTGACTATAAAGATTTTGAAAATGTTTGCTGTGAGGAGGAACGGAGAAGGAGCATTATAGCTGAGGAAGCAGTGGAGCAAAGGGGAGACGGTTTTCTCATGTTGTTTTTGTTTTGAAAAAGAAGATACTACACTGGCAACTTTTAGGCTTTTTTTCAGGTGACCTGCCATAAGAATGACATTTCCATTGAGACTTACTACATACATACTTAAAATTATGAAAACAAAACTTTTTTTTTTTTTTTTTTTTTTTGAGACGGAGTCTCACTCTGTCGCCCAGGCTGGAGTGCAGTGGCTGGAGTGCAGTGGCCGGATCTCAGCTCACTGCAAGCTCCGCCTCCCGGGTTTACGCCATTCTCCTTCCTGCCTCAGCCTCCCGAGTAGTTGGGACTACAGGCGCCCGCCACTGCGCCCGGCTAGTTTTTTGTATTTTTTAGTAGAGACGGGGTTTCACCGTGTTAGCCAGGATGGTCTCGATCTCCTGACTTCGTGATCCGCCCGTCTCGGCCTCCCAAAGTGCTGGGATTACAGGCTTGAGCCACCGCGCCCGGCCGAAAACAAAACTTTTGGCCTGGCTCACTCCTGTAATCCCAGCACTTTGGGAGGCCGAGGCAGGTGGATCCCTTGAGGTCAGGAGTTTGAGACCAGCCTGGCCAACATGGCGAAACCCTGTATCTACTAAAAATACAAAAATTAGCTGGGCCTTGTGGCGCATGCCTGTAATTTCAGCTACTCGGGAGGCTGAGGCATGAGAATCGCTTGAACTCTGGAGGCAGAGGTTGCAGTGAGCTGAGATTGCACCACTGGCACTCCAGCCTGGGCAAGAGAGTGAAACTGTGTCTTGAAAAAAAAAAAAAAAAATTCGTACAAAACAATACTCCTGTTATGTGTAAAGCAATCTACTTTTTTCATTTTAAAAAAATACTACTTGTAGCCCACTAAAATGTTTGCAAGCCCCACTGATGGACTGTGACCTGAAGTTTGAGAACACTGGGTGGTATGTTGGTGTTCGCTAGTACTGGTTGGTGACAGCCAATTTTGCACATAACTTCCATGTTGATACCTTGAGGTTATCCGGGGCAACTGCTATAACTTAGGACCTTTTTCCCCTAAAGAACAAGATCTTAAACATTTACCAGCACGCTACTGACTTTACTCATGTGAATGATCTGTGGAGAGGAGAAACTGATCATGCAGGAGAGGGGATGGTGTTCCCAATAAAAGTTGTGAAAACCAGCTTCAGAACAACAGAGTAGATGTTGCAAATTATTTGCCACAACTGCCTGAGAGTTATACAATAAAAGGATCACTTCAGGTAGGATCAATTTCTTTTTCATCTATATTGTCCTCTTTCCTTACCCAAGAAGCCACATTTATATGGTATAATATAGCCATACATTTAGAAATAGTTTTTTTTTTTTGAGACATAGTCTCACTCTATCACCTAGGCTGGAGTGTTGTAGTACAATAGTGGCTCACTGCAGCCGTGACCTCCTGGGCTCAAGTGATCCTCCCACCTCAGCCTCCCAAGTAGCTGGGACTACAAGTGCACACCACCATGCCTGACTAATTATTATTATTATTTTTGGTAGTGATGGGGTCCCACTATGTTGCCCAGGCTGGTCTTGAACTCCTGGGCTCAAGCAATCCTCCTGCCTCAGCCTCCTAAAGTGCTAGGATTACAGGCATGAGCCACCATACCCAGGCAAAATTGAGTCTTATAAGCAAAATGTTAAATTATATCTATTTATATAGAGCCCACATTTTTAAAAAAACTAGTAAAAAAAATCATGATTTTAGACATGAATTGTAAGCTCTTGCTACTTAGCAGGGTTAACTGATTAAACAGAAATAGATGCCATATTCTATCCATGTGAACCGTATTGTTTCAAGGAATACTCTAAGCTAAGGAACACTCTGGCAGTGATTTTGCTTATTATTTTGTTGCTGTGTTATTTTTGTTACCATAATTTTAAAATTTTTGGACCCCTCTCCAACTATCCATTAAATAGCGCTGCTAGTGTTGGGAAAATATGCCCCAACTCAATAATTTTGGAATACAAGCTAGATATGATAAAACCGTATCCAGAACTTTAAAGAACTGCCTTGGTAAGCTGTGAATTTAGAAACCAGAACTCTTGTCACAGAACCTGTGACAATCATGATAAAAAAAAATTGAAAGCAAAAATTTGCCACATGGATTATACATTTGTGAGCCCTGAGAACACATACCCTGCTATTCTTATGAGAAAATTAATCAAAATATGTAAGTTTTAAATTATGCAACATCTTCAGGAATGCATTCTTTACAAAACCACAACACTCATATCCTTATACATACATCTGCTTCCCCAGGAAATGTCATGGATAGTGTCATCTACCTCTTCTGATTATCTTCCCCAATCTAAAGGCATTAATTTCTCCTTTGAATCCTCTTGCATTGACCTAATCTCCCCCACACCCCAATACTAGCCCCATCCATGAGCACCAAACTTTTTTTTCACCCTCCAGACCCCCTATGATCAGATTCACCAGGCTTACCTCTGAAGTTCTACAGGATCATGTCCCAAATCCAGTCTTTTCAGGTGGGAGAAACAAGCTTCTAGAACTATGGTTTTGTCATAAAATAAAAGAATCTTAGTGATGAGAGGGAT